AAGAGAGTCATTCAACATGCATGTCATGAGCATGGGACAAAGAAAAAAACCGAGCCCCCGAAGGGAGCCGAACCCGAACAGATCCGGGCGGGACGGTCTAACCACTGAGTAGTACTGAATCGTTTTACCTACGCAAGTTTCCGCTAATTTTCGGACACATTATGGTCTTGCCTTGCACTTCTTGTTAGAATGTCGTCAGTGAGTAGAGACTGAGCAATTGGCAATTCAAACATTGAATTTACTACACCCCTGTTAAGCGACCACCTATTGAACGACCACCCCTATTAGACGGCCACTAGTCAAAGTCCCGATGAGAGCTTTTCTATTGTTTTTACCTCTATTAAATGGCCAGCCCCCTTTAAGCGGCCGCTATCCATTTCCCCGAGGGTGGCCGTTTAATGAGGGTTAAACTGTACTCCTTCCTTGCTCTCTCGCCGCTCAATTTAAACTTCCTTAATTTACACTCTCAAATTTTCTCTTGGGAAGTTGTCTTGCAAAATATATGTGTTCTAATACAGTACATAGGTATCACTGTAAATATTTGTAACATACCACCAGCCTTACAAAGGCTTGGAAATTAATGGAAAAAGGCGACGACCTTTGCAATGAATATTAATCAATATATGGCTTGGCAATCAAGTGGAAACAAAGCACTATATAACAAGCGTGAAATTTTTAAATTCTAAGAGTAAGGAATATTAAATGACAAATTTCCATGGGTCAAAAGACGACACCTTGTCGAAGGAATAAAACATAAGATATAAGGAAAATGCACATCCTGCCTATTCTGACAATTTATGAGGTTAAAAAAGTGTTACAGAAAAATAAGCCAATGCATGCGAGGCATTCCTTGATTGTGAAATAAAAAATAAAACAAAATTGTGAAGATTTATTGTAATTGATCTGTACTCTAGACCAGTCAAAAGAAAAATCAAAACCGGTTGTGACATGGTCATGTGTGTCCTTCCTCGCTTGGCATTATTTCGAGTTATTATAATTGGTATATTGTGTTACGTTCAAAGAGCCAATCAGAGCGAGGAGAGAATATGAAGACCCGGGGTGCTTACCATTTACAAAAACCATCCGGTTGGAAATTTCAGGCATAAACATTAAACAATTGAATGCCTCGTTGCGGGAGAAGGAATCGCTATTAAGTATATCCACATCAGTTAGAGAGACTTAAAAGAGCAGAAAAATAGCATCTCCTCAAATCACAGCCCATATTTTCTGAAGCTTCCCAAACGGAATAGCGCGAACCATTTGATTTTCCAACTGGAATTTCCGGTTTTCCCATGTAAATGGTAAGTACCCCCGGTTTTCCAAACCCCTCTCAACCATACTTACGTCATAGCGGCCATCTTGAAAGAAAAACAGTTACTTTGGCACCTAACACAATTTACCAGCGCATTGGTAAATCATCACCTTTAGTCTATCGAGTTTCAAGAAGTATATTACGCAAATTCTTGTATTTCTTATCCTTGCTTTATTTCATTTTTCCGTAGCAAAATATAGTACTCTCCCAAATTACAAAAATCTAATTCAATTTAATTTTCAATTCTAATTAATTAATGCCTCCTTGTCCCCTAAAAGGAAAATGATTTCCTTTTCAATTTGAAAAAAATATTTCAAAAGAAAAAACTTTTTCATGTATCACCAGCTTATACAAACGTCCCGCAAAGTGGTCGCTAAAAGGTAAACAATTTGTAAAAATATTTAAGTTAAAAAAACTAAACCTCGCCCTGATTCACCAGGTTGTACAAAGGTCCCGCAAAGTGTTCCCCGAGAATGTAATTTAGCCTAGGGTAAACTTCTTCCATTGAGAAACTGAGTCAGTAAGTAACTCTACGATTACCGATGTTTGCTAAAAAGAAGGTTTCCATCGCTTCTCCATGCCGCTACCATTGTGGTACCGTTCCGTATTTTCCATTTGCGACGAAAATGTAATTTACCTAGAGTACTTCCTGCATTAAGAAACTAAGTCCATAACTATGCAATTACCGACGTTTGCGAAAAAAGCATGTTTGCATCGCCACTCTCAGTCGCTATCCTGTGGTAACGTTCCGTATTTTCCATTTTGTTTCGATTTATCCTCTTCTGTCTCGTCGTCCGTGATGGTGGCCCATTTACAGACGATCACTGAATCCAAAACAAGCAGCGTCAAGTACGCGATCACACAAACAATGGACATAAGTCTCCTAGAGCCGACGTTTGTTGTCAGAAACCTGAGTACCTTTAAAGCGAATGACAAAGCCTTGTGACTCCCGAGGATCACGACAGTCTTTTTAACCGGCGAACTGAGACCAAGAAAGCCTGCCGCGATCCAGTTGAGTAGTAAGAACATGACGTGCATAATTGACGAGTAGCCAACGATGATAAGAACATTCATGGACACTATATTGTTGTATTGTTCCTCAACTTGTGCTTTGCTCACCAGAGGCCACGTGGAGAGGAGAAGCAGTGTTATTATAGCGTAGTGGATGCATCTGTCGCACGAATCCGCTTTTTCAGCCACAACTTTAACGAGTCTCAGCAACGTGCCGATCTGAAAAAGAAACAGGCCCAGTGTATAGGCACGCACGGCGTGCAAAGGAACAAGATAGTGTTGCTTCTTTCAGTTGTCGTTTGCTTCAGTATTTTTTTCTCTGTGTATTTGGCTCTCTTCTTTCGGAATATTTATCAATTGCTAATGTCTCTCTAAAGTTTGTTTTTCTGAAATTGTCAGGTTGATTCAGAATATTATGCTTCTATTTGTATGTCTGAAATGATTGTATCAGCATTAAGATAAAAAAACAAATACAACCTAAAAACTTTTCTGAACATATGTACAATGGTAGATTGAAAAAAAAAATGCTTTAGAACGGTAGACCTCTATAAAGAGTTTTCTCTCACGTAGCTAGTGCAACCATGCAAATATTTTTGAACAAAAGAGAGTGTTCTTATAAGAAAAGAGGAATGGTTTTGGACACAAACTTGGCCGCTGTTTCATTCTTTTGGGACACCAATATGGCTGCTTTGGCGTCATGTGAAAACACTCTATTTAAAATGAACACTGAATGATGTAAAGAGAATTTTTCTCGCTTGTCTCGCTCAGCAAACAGAATCAGAATTCAGGAACTTGTAGAACTGAATCCGTTATAAGAAATACTTACAATAGCTGGTAGAACAGATCCCAGGAAAAAGATAAGCATAAGAATTCCAAATCTTGCGACGTTCACTCCGCTGCTGAGCTCTGTCATCCACACCAGCATGGGTGGCACAGTAAATATGGCGGCAACATTTGTTATCGTCATCAATAACAGCGCCAGGGAGAAATTCCCACCTGCTAACAAGGACTGAAAATCACAAGACATGAAGAGGATTACTTCAAAATTCGTTTAATTCAGCTGTACTGAAAGATACTGAAGACAGAGCTACAAACAGATTCGTTTAGTGTTTCTGATTATCTGATTCTTGCGCGATAAAAATTCGTAACCAAGCAACCACCAAGCACAAACAGCACAGTTCACTTCGTAGAGTTACGTCATAAGAATAGACCATATTTGTATTCCAGGTGTTGGACTGGAACTAGCTTGCAATGGAGGCTCATGTGGGGAATATCATTAAAAAGAGATAGATATCTTGTCATTTGCATTTGAAGAGACCCTCTGCATTAGCCTCAGTTGCAAGCTAGTTCCAGTCCAATACCGAGAAAACGAAAATGGTCTATTGAACTTTTCAACGAATTTCAAATGTTTCTGACGGAGGGAGAATTCCGTGCGGTAAAATTCTGTTTACTCAACTAAGAAATCTCTCGAAAATAAATCAATAAAAGAGGCAGGGAATCTAAGGTGCTATCTGACAACACCACCGCTTGATTTTTCAACCGGGGATTTTTCGATTGTCCGCCATCTTGTGACGGCGCCATGAAAGACCCTGGGACGAGTTTACATTGGTTGCATGCGTTCAAATTTGCCTAGTACTTAGGCCTCAACATTTCGCTGCGGTCAATCGTTTTGGGTCAAGTAGTCCGTCGGATACGTCCCCGAAATCAATTGAAGGCCTGGGAGAAAGCCGTACAGGAACAAGGCATCGTTCAAACGTAGTTACCGTGCGATAGTATTCGTTTTTTTTAGTGATAAAATGTCTTGCTTGTGTTTTGAAAAATTACATCTGATCATGATTCACTAGAACATCTAGATGCTTTACAATTGTGCATTCTTCGAACAATATGTTTGCATCACGCAATTCCATAAATCGTTTAGTATATTGCCCACTCGCAGAGACGAATATTAAGGCATCACAACATAAACAAACTAGAATTGTAACATAACTGTTCTTACCAACACTGCTCCGGCCGCCATACTCGCTGGAACAGTGAAAAACACTTGCAGCGCGAAAGCAAACTCCGTGGGGCCAATAGCGGTCACATTTCCAACAACAGTGGACTGCGAGGTAGTCATGTTATCCTCCCTCATTGTCGCAAATTGAATGGTCTTTGTAATTTGTGTTCCCGTGATAGGAAGAACCAAGAGTATTGTTAGGATACCCCACGCGATAGCTTTGTAAGACTTGACAGCGGTAATAAGCTCTTCTGTAGTCGTGCGCAGGCCACACAAGAAGAAACACACACCAAAGCAGATTTGGGGGAAATAATAAGCGGGGAGAAGCGTCCCTAATTCCGGCCACTGTGATCCCACGATCACCATGAAAATCATCCCGATGGCTAAGAAGTAGGTATCACAAAATTCAAGCACTGTTGTCAGCGGCTTGCGCAGGCACTGGAAAGTTCTTGGAAGACAAGTCTTATTCTGTTCTTCATGTTTATTCGTTAGTGTAGGGTTTTCTTTAGTTTCTTTGGACATGTCGTGAACAGAACTGTAAGAAGAAAATTCTAGGCTATCCTGCAAAAAAGAGGCAGGAAAAAATAAATAAAATGAGCTGAGGAGGAAAGAGAAAATTGCAGGATGTTTCCATCAAAGTGTAAGCCGGCCTAACGCCAGAGAGTTGATTGGAACTGACTGGCGAGGTATGTTATTCAATTAACAAAGAAAGTTTTCGCCGTCTAATTTTCTACTATATACAACAACACAAAAGTCTCTCTCTTTCACGCGTTTCGTTTTATTTTCCGTCTCCGCCAATCTCCCTCCTAGTTTTCCCGCTCGACCAAGATCTTCAAAGGCGTGTGTTTTCCCCATATTAAATAAGCGCTGAAATATGTTATGTCTTGTTTTCAACCTGTTACAATCGATGTTCATTCAACTTGCAAAAATGAAACCTCGAGATTCTCTGCTTTCGTTCATTGATCATTGAGATTCAAACATCGAAACTGTTACATTCTGAAATTTTGGACTCGTATATTTCCTCCTTTCGTGAAAGCCGTTTATTTGTATCATCCCGCTGCTCTGATATTAGAGAATTAAATTTTTGACTAAAGGACTGATATCAATTTGTGTCCATAAGATGTCACTGATTAGTAGACATGCGAAAACCCTCTATAACAAGCTTGGAGTGAGAGCCGCTTAAATTTCGATGGTTAGTAGCTAGAGTTTTATCTAAATCGAGGTTTTTATATTCTGCCTTAGAAAATTTCAAGTTTAATAAAGCAAACGGATAATAACGAAATAATCTGATCAGCCTTCTCTTTTAAAACATTACCCCTTCTGGGCTTTTTAAATGATCTTCGGACTCAAATCTTCTTATTTTCTGTTAAACGAACACTCCAAAACCGTAATACTTCTAAAGGAAGCTTAATTAACAAATAAAACCGCAATTACAACTGAAATAATTACGGCCACCGCCTTAAGATGGCGCCCGCCAACTCTAAGCTGAGTTAAAATTAAGCCGGCACCTACCCACAACTTGTTTGACATCTCCGGTATGCAAATCCAATCGACCTATTTACCTTGCAGAATTATGAAACTTCACCTTGTCTACTTCTTGTTTTCTTATAAGGGATACATGAAATATCTTGAAATGTTTATATATTTCGCCAAGCTGGCTTTCCCTTTTAAGAGGTGGTTTTCATGCTTTGTACAAACATATCAGAGGTTTGACTGGTGGGTCGTTTGTTGTTTCGGGTTTTACCGGAAAACAAAGCTCTCCCTCAGTGTCGGTACCATAAGCACCAACTGTTTCTTTCAGTTTAGTGATCATTGTTGTAAGTCTATCAGGAAAGCCGCAACGTTTTATTTTCTCCACTTTCCTATAAATAAAATGCACCACGCGAACTTTACTAGGAGAACTCTTCTATTTTTCTCCTATACGCGGCGTTTTGTTTGTCTACAGCAGATCTCAGGTAGTTTATATGCTTGAGTGTATTTTTTTAAAAGATTAAGTTTTGTGAAGGGATTGCAAACATCCAACTGCATTTTTGTGAAGTACTAAACGGTAGCTTTAAGTTTTTAGTGAGCCAGTTGATCGTAAGCGTGCGCAACGAATGTAAATCGCGAGCACTTTACACCGGGTTTTACACTGTTTTGCTTTCACTTTAAGTTTTCATCAATCATGTCTTAATCCGTCTTTTAGTACCCCTGGAAACTTTCAAACTGATCACAATTTTCCTTAATATAGCTAGAACATCTTTGCCAGTTAAAGCAATGAAATGATCTTTTGCATGAATAAACTTGTCTGAATGCGGCTACAATTGTTTAAGAAAAAAAATTACCTTCTGTTGACTTCAATTATGGGCAATGAATAGAATATGTAATGATGGTTCTGTTTCGTGAAAAGAGAGATTTTTTTAACACAAGCTTAAGAATCTATTTCTAACATGTCTAATTCATGATCAGTCCTTCGACACTGGAAATTTTTGCATGAAGTTAGATTTTGTGCTACCAAAAAATTGATATAATATAAAGGCAGAAACCAAATCAAATTTATTATTTGTACTCGTGCGGCGATGATCTCACCTTATAATATAGGCCTGAATAGGTGGAAGTAAACGAAATGTGGTTCCATAGGAAAAAGTAAATTAGAAAACTCGAGACCAGGATTATTTTTCAGTAAAATTGATATAAAAGCAGTCTTGTTTGGTATATGGCCATAAGTCACATTGTTTGTGGTTTGTAGAAAGACTCTTGCAATGTCGATTGCCTGCGTCGAATTATTTATTTTCATCTTGCTTAATTTTATTCACCACGGCATACTTTCATTTTACTCACAAACTAAAGCTAAAAAATGAACCGGTAATGGGTGGTCATCCTCTAAAAAATACTTGTACAACTTCGATTGCAACCAGGTGAAATTTAAGGACCAAAACACGAAATATTACAAATTAATAAGAATGTCAATGAAACCAATTGCGAAGTTCTAAGTAAGTGGTCTAAAGAGAAAATAATCGTTCATTTTTTCCCTCCTTTTTCACTTTTATAGGTACTCGTCACTTACATCAGAAAACTGATTATAGCTTTTATAGCTTTTTTGCGCCCGAACAGTCTATCACAAGCTCGCGTTGAACTGAAAGGACAGTTCAGACCCAATCAGTGCAGGCGAAGGTGCGGATAAAACCTATCTACTCAAAGTTAATAGAGAAGGAAGAAACGAAACTATACTAAAATTTAAACCAACGTAGGCCGGGTGAAAGATACGGAGTGATAAAAAGCTTTGAAATATACCGCATAAAAAGACTCTTCGTCAGCCGAATTCAGTACGATCACCTCAGTTTAATTCAGTGTAGGCAGACATTTACCATGGTCCGCATTTATCACAAAATTAGAGAACTGACTAGAAAAGGCCTTCTTGAACACAATCGAACACGCTTAATGACTTACCTGGCTGTTGTGGTGATCAAGGCAAGTCCCGTGAGTCGCGATGATAAAACAAATTGTCTGCCCTCTCATAAAATGTTCGGCGCTGTCCTTTTTCCTCGCGAATTTGCATTTTGCTTTGATATATCGTAGAGAGCGCATGGTTACGCAGCAACAGGCACAGCTGTGTAAAACATCCATATCTACAAGAAAAACATTGCTTTGTCAATTAAAAAACTTCAGTGTTTGCTCAATATCAGAGGCGCTGATACTTTCAGGGGCTGTAAGATTCTCTACTCTAATAAAAAACTTCCGGAACTAGTTGTTCACGAAGGCAACGTATATATCCGCAATTAAACTTGTTCATGCAGATTGTCTCAATTTATGGCAACTTGATTATCAGTTGGCCAGCTTCAACTATGCTACTGCAACTTTTGGGGAAAACATTTCTCTGATGTTCATTCAGTTCAAAAGCTATTTGACAATGTTCTACTGTCAAATTATGTCATATAGATAGAGTAGATAGGACTAACCATGGACAGCAAACTCAAGGAAGACGAATACACTACCAGCAGTCTCTTTCTTTTCCCAGCTTGCAACGGAACTGATACAGGAGTGCAAAGTAAAATTTAGACTTTTCCAATCTCGCGAGGGATTTCAGGAACAAAAACCGACGCCAGCCAACTGTAGTCTACAAGACGAACTGAGCGGCAAATGAAGTTTCAAATTTTTAAAAGAGTTAATTAATTCGCGCTGGTTATATTTTGTTTTCCCTCCCCCACAATTCGGGTCAAAGTTAACTAGCTTTTGCTTTGTGTTCAGTTATTTCACAGAGCTCATGAAACTAAAACAAGGCGTGAATGATATTGTGCTGGTCAGTCTTTCTTAAGAAAATACGTTTATATGAATTTCCGCGATCTGATTGGTTGAAAAAGAGTGTTTTCCGTGTTTCCATTGTGTAATAGACACATTTGCGATAAAAACAGGAGCTGACGAGAAACAGCTGTGCCAATGGTCATATGTACACAATTCTGACCTTCTTGTCCGAGACAAAAATGGACAAACAGAACTCGTTGACAAGTAGAACAAAAACGGATTTTTCTTGCACTGCGCACAGTTCATCATATTTGTGAATGAAACCGTTCTTTTGAAATGTAATGATTTTACTTATAGAGAAAAAAAGCGCCATATGATAAAAATAGAGGGATTTGCGTATGAAACGCCAGCTGTATTTTCGATGAATGGTTAATTTTTTTTTTTTAATCCCAAAGTCTTTCGAAGCTGTGTCGTGACTTATGTAAACAAGATGAAAGCATTTCACGAAACTACCAGTGACGTCTGGCTAGTATTTGAACTTCAGCTATGTAACTGACTCAAGACAGCAAAACAAAATACCGTAAATCCTCCAATTAGCGCCTGGAGCGCTTGTTTCAAATTTAGGAGAAGACGCGGGCGCTTATAAGTCTTATACGAGGGAGGCGTTTAATCGAAGGAGGCGGGTACGCTTATTTAATTTTTTGCCAACTCGTAGCGAGACATGGCATTTGTAACTAGTTTTCCAGACTTAACGTGTTCACAAACTGAAACAATGCACAAATCTAATATACGATTTTAACTAGTTCGGCGAACGTGATCACATATTAAATACCAAAAAAAAAAAAAAAAAAAAAA